AGAGAATTGTTTTTATCCATGGGATGAGACCCTTCCTTGAGTTTATTCACTGCCTCAAGTGGATAGAAATCTTTCTGCACAAATAGGTTTGATTAAAAAGTCTAAATATTATTATTCTTTAAAAAAATGATAAATTATACTAGCTTAGTAGCCGGTTCAAATTTTATTAATTTGACTTCTTTTGAAATTTGAGATATGTGCTCAACCACTCTTTTTTTCTCGACAAGACTGGTTGATCAAAATTTATAAAATAATAATTTTATTATTCCTTTATAAAATATGTAATACAATATATTATTATAATATAAAGACATTATTGACTTCTCATCCTCAAAATTATTTTTCGGCCATCGGAGACATTATTATGCACGAAGAGTCTCACATTTGACAGTTTGCCTAAATTTCTCAAAATTTCGAAAATCTTATGCAGTCCAGGTCAAAGGTATCGCATGCAAACTGATTTAAAATAAATATAGATATAAATATATATATATATATATATATATATATTAATGAGAGAGAGAGTCTATTGAATGTGCTTCTGGGTAACTCTTGAGTTGTTTGAAATGGATGAGAGAGAGAGAGAGAGAGAGAAACCATGCAATCTGGTTGTGAGTTTCTCTGCAGAATGGACAGTGACACACTAGGTTGGATAGGGTAGAGTGGTATAGGGTAAAGTAGTGACGTAGTGGTTTCACCGTAACGCGTGCTTTGGAAGCGTGTGATTAGGTTTTGTCATTCAATGCAACCCCTCCCTCCCTCCCTCCAGATCTTAAATCACCCCCTCTCTTGGACTTTTCTCTCTCGTCTCTACCCTTTTTGTCTTGTGACGGCAGAGAGATACATATTCACATTCACAGAGAGTAAACAGATAAAGAGTTACACAAAGAGTTAAATATATAACTATTTCACATATATTCAGAGAGAGAGAGAGAGAGAGTCAGTGAAGAGGAGGAGAGAGAGTGTGGACCTGGTGATGCTTAATTGCATCAACACAATATTGGAAGGTTTCGGAGCTGTCAATCCCTTCTTCTGAGAAGTCTACTACAATTGGGGGTCAGAGCCCCATCATTATCTCAATAATCAGCGTGAGAGATATAGAAAGAGACAGAGAGAGAGACAGAGCTTTTCTCACTGATCATGACGTTATAATTTGCTGGTGGGGGGCGAGACCTAGATACCTACAACAAGTTCTACAGTATTATTAGCTACCATAATCTCTTGGATTATTCAATACGTAAATTTCAACATGAGATGAGAGATTCGGAATCTGATATCTCCGAAGTTTTCTATAATTTTTTGACTCGTCCATCCTCCATATGTATCTATAGTTCAAATTTCGCAATACGTCCAAAATAGTTCTTGGAATTGATTTTTTTTGGAATTTTACTCTTTCATTTATTTGCAAACCTAGCATGCACGTATGGTTATATGTTATTATCCAAACAATGATCAAGGAGGGGTGAATTGAATCTTTTGGCAAGCGCTAGAATATCTTTCAATTAGACTGTTTAAAATGAAATTAAACTCAACAAATATATAAGCGAACAAAGTTGAATTTAAATAGACATCGATAAGGGTAGAGAGACCTAAACACAATGAAAATCAAATCGTAACGTGGTTTAGCATGCTTACGTTCATGCCTCAAGGTACCTCTCGAGGATTCCAAACCTACTGTTGTCTATAACACTTTCCTTTACAAGTGGAGATCGAGGGAACCTTTACAAAGCTTCACAAACTTGTCTCTCTTTACTAAATGAACACCTTACTTAGACTTCAAGGGAAATCAACCCTTATACAACAATAACTAAGGATAGTGAATGTAACAATTAAATATTCGTCAATGGATAGATATGTAAATCAAATTTCACTGTAGCTAGATTAATAGGTGAAACGAATACTTACAAAAAAAAAAAAAACCAGAAAAGAAAGAAAAAAAAAGAAAGGAGGGGGGATGAAACAAGTGATGAAAGCTCAACTCTAGACTAAGAAGGTATGAATGCTTTAACAAATTTTTAAGATGATATTCTAATTTGGTAAAGTTATCTAAATTTTTTTTTTAAAGTCAACAAGGACCTTCTACCTATAGCACTTTTGAGAAATGTGACAACTAAAGCATTTTAATTAAGGCGTGTTTGGATATGTCTTTATGAAAATAATAGATCATCTAAATGTTTAAGTGTCTTCATTTGACAAGTCTTTTTCTTAATTAAGAATATACAGTTATACAAAACGCTTTCGTTACAATTGCCCAGACTGTTGAGGATGCTGACATGGATTCTTTTGGGCCAGGTGCTTTGGGCCCGATCCAAAAATTTAAATTATAAGTGAGATTAACATCCAATTTTTATATATCTATTTACTTCCTCGTATGGATTCGATTTGCGACAAGTTTCCCTTCTAACAATAAGGTGCAACTTGGGCAGGACAATCTGAGCCTAGTATGATTTTTCAAACCCTTGGACAACCATTTTTATGATTAGGGTTCAATATGGGTTAAAAAATATCAACCCGAACTTAATTAGGAGTAAATTTAGGTTGAGGTGTCAGCAACCGAAGTCAATCCGAATCGAATTACAATTCTAATATTATTTTTATATATTTTTATTTTAAACATATTCTATATAAATATCCCAATTATGATCACATTTTTCTTTTTAACTTCCTTTATTTAAATCTTATTTTATTGCACCTTAATGTTTCGGAAAATTAATTTTCTTAGGATATGTTTATATATATATATATATTTTGTTTTCTTAAAAAAATGTACTTTGGAGTATTCTAATATAAAACTAACTCAAGTTTAAGAGAACTGGAACAAAGGTACACCTATTCGGAGAGCTGGGCTCTTTACCAATTAGTTTACTAAAAATTTCAAGTACTAAATTTTAAACACTGAAATTTTAAATGTTAAATGTATTAATCTGAAAACCTGCTTGATAGTGTCTTAATTTTAAGCGCGAAATTCTTTAATATTGTTTGTCAAATGTAAAACCTAAAATATGAACTTTGTATACATTACATTTTTATTCTCAATATATTCTATTCATAATATTTTTATAATAATAAATTGTGAAATGTATCATTACTTTAACCATGAATATTAATGTCAAAAGTGATCATAAAAAATATTTGCGATGAATCTTGATGTTGTATTTTTATTTCTATCTAACCAAGGAAAAATAAAAATTTAGAATACATAGGTTGAATATGGATTTGACAATATGAATGTAACCCATTGTGTATTCGTATTATATTTTTATTTCTGGCTTAGCAACCTAAATAAAAATGAATTTTTATAATATATGGGCTCAATATGAATTTGAAAATATATATGTATCCATAAAGCTATATTTGCAGGTGTTAAAGATATTGGGTAAAGAAGAATTATATTCTAGGAATAATTCTATTTTATGATGTTTAACTCATACTAGCTCATTAACATTTCAATAGATATGGCATGTTTAAGAGAGAATATAGAGTGAGAGTCCAGAAAAGTGTTGAAACTTCTGAAAAATTCAATTATTTAGGAATAAAATTATTATTAATAAAATAATTTTAAAATGTAAATTACTTATAGTGTTATGCGATAAGCAATACGTGATCTGTCTATTGCTTAAAAATTTAGCATCTTTTAAGCGGTATTTATTCTAAATTTTTAATAAATGCATTAAAATTTTAAAATCATTTGCTGTTTTCAGTTTTCAACGCTGTATTAAGTTATCAAATAGTGTCCAAGTCACTTGTAAATGCAAATGCTCAAATTCTAAAGACCAAAGTGAATTTTAACAAGATTAATGACTCTTTTGCTCTTATTGCATGAATCAACTAAGTTCAAGGATAAGTCAATTATCCTGGAGACCTTAGAATGATGTGCACAATTAGTTTATTAGGTGACAGTCTTTTTAAGGTCTAAACTTGAGCTTTTAATCATCATGCAACAAATATTATTACTTTACAAACGTTGTATCACTCACCACAAGCATATGCTATCCATGGTCTTTGAGCTTTATGAATTCCAATGATCAAGTGCCATTATTCCATAATAGCTTTGCCATTGATCATTGAATATTCTTTAGGTTTAAGCTTGAAATTAAGCTGAATATGATCACAAACTCAAATAGAATATTAAATTCTCACACAAATAATTTGTTATTTTTAAATTGATTCAAATATCTTTGGATTGAAACCCTGTGATTAACAAAGTACAATTTTTCATGAAATTCTCTGAATTTTGGACAATTAGCACATCCTCTAATTTGAAAAGCTGTGAAGAAATCTAGAAATGGCATCATCAGGGACAGAGGATTTTCACTTTGGCCCCCTTAAAATTATAAAAAAATTATACTAAATTCACTTTCTTCCCTCCCTCCCCTAACTTCATGGTTGCCCTCCCACCACTTTCTCAATCCGTCCTATGCATCATCATAACCAAACTTCCATTATTTATTATTTATTGAAAGAACAAAAGATTTAAACTGACCAAATCTTTGAATTTGAAATTTTAGACCTTCACCGTAAATGTAATCTCGTTGTAACTATGTGGCTCAGAAAAAGGTCATTCTAGCACTCTGGTTATTAACCAATGTGAGAGTCTGCAACATGTTTTTGTGTGCGTTCACACACACACACACACACAGATATATATTGCAGATGGGTATGCCTTTATAACCGTATTAACTAGTAATATTTAAGTGATGCAATCTACCCCGCGCATTTGAGTTCCAAAAGTAGGCCACTGAAAGGCGAGTCCATGGTAGCTCAACTGTACCTCACCTTGGCAAAGCCAATGATAGTAAGTATTTAAGTCTTCTTTTTTCAAGTACTCTCTGCAACTAATTAAAAAGCGACCACAAGCTTTTTTCTCAAACATGAGAAATCATGATCCAAGCGTTGACCACCAGTTAACATACCATTTATTTTTCATAGACAACAAAGGACATAAGAGTTCAAAATCGAATTGGAATTAGAGAAAATGTTCTATTTAACAAAATGGTATTGTACAAAGCTAATAAACATACATGGTCTGAGAAGGGAAAGCAGAACCCTATGCAAAATTGGTTGATTTACAACTAAAATAAGGGGAAATTAACATAAGAGTTCTGCTGAATAAAACCTCCATATAAAACCAACCCTCCGAAAAAAAAAAGAAGAAAATTAAACAAATTTTTTTTTTTTTTTTGTTTTGAAACCTTGTTATTTCAATGTTTTTGTTCATGGATGTCTCTTTAGGATCATATGAGAGTTACAACTACTTTTGCAGCCTCGTATTGTCCTCCATTGATCAGCTATGTCTCGGGCGACGTTACCGGCATCTGACGCAGTCCCAAGGAGGCCTCTTCTAGTGAATCCAACAGTATACAATCCTTTCCCACCTCTCCAACTGTTGGGGAATGGTGTCTTGGGCATACCTTCTTTTGTGAAGAAATCACCACTCTGCATTTCAAAATTGAAATCAAGTGATAAGCCTCAAGATTAAGGATGTGTTTGGCTAAAGTAACTAATAAAGGAGAAATATTGGTGAATCAATAGAGGAAAGGTTGGAAAGAGGTCACTTTCTAGATTTTTGCCCTTTTTTTTTTTTTTTTTTTTTTTTTTTTTTCAAACATCGTCCTTAGGAAAACAGAATATTTCATGACAGCAACACCACAGCAAAACCAACAAAAAAGTTTTAAGTTTCTAAGAAAAATGTAGAATAATCCAAACAAATGTCATCAGATTTTCTCTTTTGTATAGGAATTCTAAGAAACGTTTTGTAGCCTGGTGAATGTGTAAGACAGAAAGCGATATAAGATTGATAATAAGATAAAAATATAAAAACTAACAAAACATGGTTGGTCATGCTTACCATGAGCCAACAAGGCACATTGCTCTTGTATCCAGTTGCTAATATTATAGAATCAAACTCTCTCTCTTGTCCATCCACAAACTTTGCCCCATTTCTTGTTATCTCTCTCACACCTTCCATCACCTGTAAACCCTAACAAACATTAGCAAAAGATTGTGCCACAAATATAAAAAATAAAAAAATAAAAAACCCCCACTTTAATGGTTTGTTTGGTTGTTGGTTACCTTAATTTTACCGGATTTTATTTGGGATAGTGTTCCGACATCGAGCACCGGTGTCTTTCCGGTGGCGTTTTTGAGCTCAATTGGACCGGTTTTCGGCCTCCGGAGGCCTAATCTGTCTGTGTTGCCTAAGGTGAAGTTTGCGAGCAGTAAGAGGAACATGTCTACCAGTCTTAATGGTATCCATTTGAGAAGAAACACGGCCATTCCAAAAGTTGAGATGCCAAACACCTCTCTAGGAAGAACATGCACCTGAGACAACAACAGATTCAAAGAAGTGTTAGATACATCCAAATGAAGAAATAAATACAGTATATGTTTTTGTATATTATTGATGTTGTCCTGTATGTATTAAATTCAAATAATGGCCACATGAAAAGAATTGTGAAAAATACTATTACTTCTTAAACATATAAGCAGATACCAAAGGAACAAATTTGAAAATATCTTCATTGCAAATGATTGTGACTGCGAAAAAAGTTGATTTGGATGTATACCATGGTAATTGATATATATATATATAGAAACACACAGTGTGTATATAGGATATGAAATTGTTCAAAAATATCTTTGAACTCGGTGACTCCATTTTTATTTCAACTGCATAAAAATTGATTATAATGCACAGCCAGAAACAGTGATTGAACACAAAAAAGAAAAGTACTTAGAAAAATGAAATGGACTTACAGAGTTCCTAACCACAATATGAGGGCTCGCATTGTGTCTACAGAGGTCCAAACTAACCTCCATACCAGAATTCCCACACCCAACAACCAAAACCCTCTGCTTTCTGAAATCAGAACCAGACTTGTACACACTTGTGTGCACCACAGGCCCCTGAAACCTCTCAATCCCCGGAATCTCTGGCGTGAACGGCTCGTCATTTTCCCCGGTGGCGACGATAAGCCACCTAGAAAAATACTTGCAGTCCTGAGTCTGAACCTTCCAAATCCCACCAACATGATCAAACTCAGCACTCTGAACCGCCTGTTTGAACCTTGGCTCAATGCAAAAATGTGCAGCATATGACTCCATGTATGACATGAATTGGTGCTTGGTTGGGTACTTTGGAAAATTTTCTGGGAAACCAAACAATGGGAGTTCACAGAACTGTTTGGGAAGGTGGAGTTTGAGACGATCATAGGTTTTTTGTTGCCACAGAGAGGCTATACAGTCACTCCTCTCAAGAATCACAGAGGGCACGCCATTGTCTTTGAGACAAGCTGAGACTGCTAGACCAGATGGTCCTGCACCTACAATGATAGGCCCTTGAACCCACAAGCACTTTGGTTGATTTTCTTCTCCTTCTTTACAAGAACCCATGTAGTGGAAACCCCAAGAAAATAAAAGAAAATAATAAGAAAATGAAAAACCTCTGTTTTTCACCCTGTTTTACTCTGTTTTCCTTACTCCGTTTTACTTAGATAGTATGTGATGCATATAGTATGAGTCTAAAAAAACATGGTTTTGGATTAGAATCAATGAGGAGTGAATCAGAAAGTGTTATGTGACTTTTAGATGCATAGGAGGCGTGTATATATATATATATAGAGAGAGAGAGAGAGAGAGAGAGAGATAGATAGAGAGAGAGAACAGAGTTTTTATGAGAAGTGAGAGGTAGAGAGACAGAGAGGTGTAATGGAGGCGTGAAAGTTAAGGAAAGGATTTGGTTCTGTTTCTCAAGGCTCTTTCTTCTCAGCCTCTGCAGAGTTTTGGGGTTGGGTTGTGAGTTTATGACATGTGCAATTGGCAATGAGAAGATATATATAAATACATTTGTGTGTGCTTACTGTGAAAATTGTGGTTCTATATTGATACCAGTGACATTGCACACTTGCTTTTTATGGATGAGTCAAGATGGAAATTTGGGTAAATATCATTACGGTGTGAACCACGCGCCACAAACATTAATTTTTCAAATGTTATTAATTTCTAGCTTATTGAAAATAGCATAATAAGATCGTGTCAAGTCAACCGCGTAGGGTAGTTCGTTGTTGGGCCTATGGCTTCATTTACTATACCACTAGTGTAAAATGTTGTAGACCATAAAGGTGTATTTATGAGACAAAAATTGCTAAAAGTCTTTCACAATTAAAATTGGTTCGAGACATTCGAATTTTTAATCAAGATGACATTTTTTTTTTTTTTCCATTCACTTAAATATATTAAATGTGTTCGACAAGTTCACATCTCTTTAAAAATTGAGATTGAAGGTTATAATTTTTTGAATTGATTGATGAAGTGACATCATAATTTGACCCAATTGATTTAGGAAAAAAAAAGAGTGTAAAAGTTTCTTTTAAATTAGTTGACAACTCACTTAAATTACTTAGGTTTCGTTTGTATGGATGTTAAAATTTTTAAAAATTTTTTTTTTAAAATTTTTTAGTATTTGGTTGTCATACGAAGAAAAAAAATATTAAAATTTTACAAAAATAACTCATTTATCAATTTTCGACAAGTTATTTTACATGCCTTACTCGATGAACTCAACCTCAACCTTGACATAGACTTTTGCCAAGCACCGATAAAATAAAAATAAAAAAATATTTTACATGAAAAAGAAAAATGTTTTCCAAAAAGAATATTTTACGACTAAACAAATAGAACCTTAATGAAAAATATTAACATTTTTTTTTTGGTGACAAATTGTTTTTAACTATAGTGGTTTTCTCAAAAACAAATGATTTTATATGTTATGATAAATTTATTTACTTGTAAAGAGTGGACTTAATTTCTTGTAAACTCAAAACTATAAAAATAAAAATAATAATAAATAAAAGTTCTAATCAGTGTGGGTCACAAGCATCCTTTACTTTTGGGATAAAAAATATAATTTCAGAAGATGATATAATTTCTTACATTATTTAATTACAATTTTTTAAAAATAGTTGAATGGAGTATTGATTTTTAAAATGAACGTTTGACAGTGCAATTGTAATTTTTAATTTTCTATTTAATTTTAAATCTTAATTTCTTTAGAAGATATTACTTCGGTCTCATAATAATTGTCAATTTTGAAAACTTTGACTCACTACCATATTTTATTTTTAAATTATTTGATATCATTTTTAGTCATACAATATACTTACATATTACCTATATTCCATACTAAAAGTTTATTTCGATAACTTTGACTCACAAAAATTATAAGTCAAAATTTTTAAACTTGACAACTAATATGGAACGGAGGGAATAAAAAGTTATCAAATGAATCACCATACTCCCAAGAGTTTTTAAAGAAGCCAGTTGACAACACTAGCATAATTAATATACAACCTTCTTTTTTGGCAAGTGTCATTGGATGTTAATAATATACAAAATAATATGATTTTTTCAATAGGGTGACCTATAGAGTTATTATTATTATCATTTATTAAGTGCTCATACAAATTAATAAAATACTCATTTTAGAACTCGAACTCTCGCCTCTCTTTTGGCGGAAGAAAAGTTATAGAACTATCATGTAATTGAAAGTTATAAACTCTTCGTGAACTCTTAACTTTTTTATTTGAAATATTGAGAAAATATCACTTTTTTATTTTTTATTTTTTGTTTCCATCAAGTAAAAATGACTAAATTACTAATTGATAGCGACAATGGCGTCCAGAGTCTCCTAAATGGTCTAAAATTTAGTTGATGCCTATGCAAATCATGCGCATCAAGGGCTTGCTATAAATATATTACATGTACTAGTAAATATATATATATATATATAATATTGCCAATCTAATATGATGGGAATATTGCATTGTATTGTTTACATGTTTTCATGAATTATAACGTATCAGGAAAGAACTCATGTACATGAGGTCATGGGTTCCACTTAGATCTTATAGACTAAAATCCTCATTACATCATTCATAATCCCTTCCCATTTAATTTGTACCATACTTCCATACACCAAACAATTATTTATTTATTTTTTCATAACAAGAAATACACACACTTTTTCCACTCTCAAGCTCGAACTTATTCCCTCCTTATTAAAGATGAAAAAATTATACCACCAAATATACTATCAACTGAACTAAAATTTTCTGTTTCTAAAATATATAAATAACACAAATTTCCGCACACATATATATTTGATTATATTTTTAATTCTTAAAGAATCACGTACGAGTAGTCTTAGATGGGTTGATCGAAGTCAATCAGTCAAATATTTTAGACCGTCAAGTTATTTATACACCGCGACACTCATTTACTAGTCAATGTCATGGTGGTGCCCGTGTATATTATTTTCGCGAGCAGGTGAGGTTGGATGCAAAAATATAATCTCAACAATCTCATATGTGTGTGTATATATATATATATATACAGGACTCCACGAGGATTGGGTTTGATCAAATCTAGAGCAGAGAGAGAAAATCTAGGGTTAGTAACTTCATGGAATATATACTAATTAGTTGCGCCCACCTTTGCTGTTATCATGTATTATATTGTCCTTTCTGTTATTTTATTTCATTTTAATTTAATTTGATTAATTTGCACTTGAAGGCTTGGTGACCAACAAAAGGGAAACTCGGCTTAACTTTCTTAATTGATAATTACAATTTTACATGATTTGTAATCAATTCTTGGTCTTTTTTATTTTGTAATTAACTTCACTTGTTTTAATAAAAAGATGTAAAATTATTGTTTTTAGTCGAAAATGATAGTGTTGGACTTCTTAAATCTTTTCATAATCCCACAAGTGGACACATAAAGCTTCCTCATCACTTGGCGTCGTAATTATCAAAAAGTTTCGTGAGTATGGTTTCGTGGATATTCAAGATACTCGTTAGCTTACTACGCAGAAAAAAAGGAAAAAGAAAAAAAAAATGGAGTGTTCAATCTAATAGGATTGGCTCAAGTGGGTAAGTGTTATAAAGGGAACTTGTCACATTTCAAATCTAGATAGGAAAGTGAATATGTATATATGGGTTGAGTGTTAGCCCACTTAATAATTTAAATTTTTTGATCGAAACATCCTACCTATTACAATTGGTATCAAACCCAAATCTACTCCTTGATCTAGTATCATACCAATTGCCCCGTCCAGAGGTGTCCAGGTCTGCTTACTCGGGTAGGCAGGATGGCCTGACTTTGTCACTATAAGCGTTCATTCAGAAGGTGTCTAGGTCTGGCCACTCGGGGTAAGTATAGTGACTCGACTACAACGAGAGCGTTGCAAATTCGGGTGTGGGAGAATGTTAGAATTGTCCCACGTCGAATTGGGGATAGAAAGGAATGTGCGTTAGCTCTATTTAATAACTTAAGTTTTTGCATCAAACCGCGATACACTCGCCCATTATAATAAGTCACTTGACCTCGATGCCTCGTGAAACACATCTAAGGTTCTACCCCTCTAAAGTCCAAATAATTCCTTGGAGGAAGGAAGGTGTATGTATGTATGTATAATAATATATTATATTATTAGTTTTTGATATAATAATATCATGTCAATTAAGTATTACAGTATTACTCATTAATTTAATAACGAGTCTAAATTAATGAAGGCTTATTTGAAGAGTTGAAAATCAGAATCAGTATAACATTTTGGTTGGTAGACAACTTTTTAAAAATATTTTTTGAAAACTCAATTAAAATAAATACATGTTTTCAACATTTATAATTTTTTAAAAATAATTTTTGTTTTTTAGGGTATGTTTGGAAATTATTTCCATTTTATGTTTTTATTTTAATTTGAAACCGAAACAACTTTGATGTCAAAATTTTTGAAATAAAAAACATGAAATAAAAAAGGTTGCAAGATTGAAAAACAAAGTGGATAGTTAAAAATAGGGCATTTGGGTTTTTTTACCCCATCACCATTATAGTTTTTTGCTATTAGGAAACATCAATTTGTTATTTTTGATTTGACCCCCTCCTTAACAACAAAAATTATACAATTCAAATAGCAACAAAAGTTACCAAATGTGTTTTGGTGCTTTGCTTTGCTACACTAACAAAATATGAGCAAAAACGTTGGTTAGACAAACCCATAATATTTTGGAACTATTTTCATATTACTGTCCCTTAAGATTCATGTATTAATCAGTAATTACTTAAATTAAATATTTTTTGAAACACTAAATTGAAATTGATGGAATAAAAAAATTTTTAGTTAAAAGTTACTCCCTCCGTCTCATAATAATTATTTACATTAAGACTCAATGTAAACAACTATTGTGAGATGGAGGTAGTACAAAATTTCAATTCAATCAATTTTAATTTCAACATTACAATTTCATGCATCAGGGAGCACCAAATTAAAATTTTAAAATTGAATTTAAATAAATTTTAGCTCAATTCGATATCTTCAAACATAGTAAAATTAACATAATAAAATTAATTAAAAATCCAAAGATTCAACGTTGGTTTTCTATTTAGAAGAAAATTGTTGTTGCTTTTTTTTTTTTTTTTTTTTTCTAGTTTTGTTTCTCTTTTTGTTATAATTTTATGTATTAAAGATTCTTCTGACGTCACCACCTACGCAAAAGGAAATCTTACAAAATCAAGTACCTAATCAAGAAGGCAATCAAGATTGTCGGAACAGGAAGGTCCATAGTACGAGTAGAAAGAGTTGCAGCCGTTAGATGGACCTCGAAAGCCGTGTTTTGCATCTATTGTACCATCGGACGGTCCAAACGTGTGGAGAACCATTGACAGTTTCAAACTTTGAGTCCCAATCTTTCTATAATTGGTAATCAATCAGAGAATGGGCGGATGGCA